AAAGTTTCAGCCGCACGCAAACAACTCAATTATTTTCACTGGTCACGGCAAGTGTTGTAAAAAGGTAACCGCGAAATGTCCCGCGTCAAACTTTTTTTCAGCTCGGGGTACGAACTAATTTTCCTTATGTGAAATTTCGCCGGTTATCGCGAAACCTGTTTCACTGACAGAAAGACAAACTTTGGTTATTTAATTTGTAACCGGATAATTAATAACCGGCAACTTTAACGCAGGGACGCGGTCCCTTGGGCTGAAGCTTTCTCGTTAAAATATGACAGACTTAAAAAAACTTTGTGAAGCCAATTTAAATTACTGAACGCACAACGTGTCCGCCGGAACGGAACCTTATGCTATTTATCTCAATTCCGTGCGCCTCTGTATCGCTTAATCTTTTAGCATCGGTTACATGTTAGCAACAGAACTTTTAGTTACATTTTTAAACGAATTTTCAATATGAAATACCTATAAACAGCGACGTCTTAGATGTATAAATTAATTTTGTTTTCTCACTTGACCGACTATAAATGCAATTTATATTTAGAAATTCTTCTTTGAATTTCAATTATTCAAAGGTTTTCTATTTTGGAATTAAAAGTGAGTGTGATCGAAGTTAATAGTGAACTTTTCTTGAAAGACTGATAAATATATTTGGAATAGAACTGACTTAATTTTTAAATTGACGAATAGTTAAATTTTCGAAACAAATAGTTCTGTTATCTGTGCGTATCATAGTTACAGTTCGAAATTATATGAAAATGTTGTGAGTGCACCAGGCGTGTGACATATCAAAGTTATACTCGTATCGGGTTACATAGACGAGCTTTACAATATCAGTATCAGTGTATCAATAGACTCTGATGAAGCCAGCTGCAGCTCGCATATTATGCGAATCATTTTCGAAAAGAACCTTAATGTCTCATTTAGTACATTCAGAACTCTATAAAAATTACGACGTAAAATGTATAATATTTATAGATAATTCATGTGAATCATGTGAAATTATAGGAAATTTATATAAATCATTTTTGAATTTCAATAAGTACAGAATGAATAATGACACAGAAGTATTAAACAATGATTTAAACACATTGGCAATAATGCCGTATATAATTTATATCATTTTTCGATACATACCTGTATATTATGGTTTTATTACACAAAATTCCATCGATTGTCAACTATTTTTTTATATGTTTAAATGATATAATTTTGTGATTCTCACAAAAATTTATATTCCATAAACTTTGATATAAAATTCATAATATTTTTACACAGTACTAACAAGATGTGAGACTTCCTGTATTACCTAATAAAATCGAAAAGATGCTTTCCTCAAGTGCATGGAAACTGCATTTCGTAACGCTCGACAGATTAATTTGTAATAATCACTAACACTATTTTCCTTATATTTCCAACGAACAACCAAATTACGTTTTCCAATACCGCTGCAAATACATACATCCAGAAATAGATGAATAAAACAAATCTTCACAGCTAAATACCTTTCTCAGCTAATCAACGGTACATATCTAACACAGAGAAAATTGATTCCCGTGGAATCTTTCAGAAGAAAATCTCTGTGAAAAATTGTAGATCGAAACTGGAATGAACCTACATCGCCCGCGGAAAACGATGGAAACATTAAGTTAATTGGGTATACGTTATCGCTTACGCCGACAAATATGAGCGGCACTTGAAAAATATCGGATAAAACGAGCTAATTAAGCTAATAACAGAGCCGCCCTTGAAACGGTACACGCGAGGCTCAATCCGCCCCTTCTAATTTAAACGGTAACCCATTTTGCATGAAATTCAGCGCGGCACCCGGTACAGTATATAACTCGGCCCGCGTCTTTCTGGTACCCGCCATATCATCACGCGATTAGTATAATAACGTTGATCTCGTGGCAGCCACTCCGTGAGAATCGGGGATGCCAATCGGGTTAGACTGGAGCCGAAATTCAATATTTACGCTGCCGCAGAAACTCCACGGTAATCAGACCGCCGAGTAATTGGTAACGTTGCTTCTCAAAGCGGAACGCGGTGAAATGTAGAGGTGTGCCTCAAACCTCCCCCTCCCCCTGACCCTCCGGCCCGTGCCTCCTTTTCACCTTAACCCCTTGCATCTCACACCGTGAAAATTGCTTCCGAAGAATCGTCTGTTTTTCGCACGCCGTCCGTGACAGGCGACGCAGTTGATTATCACGAATAATTAGATGATAATCTTTAGCGGTACGTAACAGGGAAGGTAATTGGAATATCTCGTGCATTGGTTAACCCTTTAGTTACTATCAAATCTCCAGTTTCCACGATCTAAATAAACGAGCATCAATTCTTTTAGGAATAGTAGAATGAAGTGCACAATAAATGCCCGTGAACCTAGTGTTAAACTTTCACGCCTGAGCATATAAAAGTTGAAGTTAACTGGTTACTTCAATGGGCCGAATTTTTGTTCATGATCGTAACAAAATCTATGCGGTACAGAATTAATAAATATCCACATATGAACACAAATTAACAATGTATTCAATAGCTTCAATAATTTCATCAAACATATATGGGCAAATGCACCTATAATAATATTCTGATGAAAAACTGAAGCAGAAGGAAGAATTACATGTTTACGTAAAGAAATAAATAAATCGTTAGAAGAAATAAGTGTTACATATTCTGCGATTTAAGATGATGTATATACTTGTCGAACGCAATTTTATGTAGCCTTAACACTCAAACTAACGAGCATTTAATATAATTGATATGTAGTCCCTATAAAAATTGTAATAGATTATTTTCAATTGCTTCGGGTATTCATTATAATGTTTTATCGAAACTATTCATTTTCAAAATTATTTCGAATATTCAATGCTTCCGAGGTATAAATAATTGGGAACAACAGAAACCAGTCATATTTACCGATATAATAATGCTAGTGTTAATTATAATGAACAGTGGGTGCATGAACGAAGAAGATTGCTCGTAATTATTTCACGTATAATTATTGCGTTCCTGTTGTGGGTTGTTTAAGTAATTAACTTCAATATTCCCCGGTTTAATAATTTAATTAAATTAATATCAAATTTAATTAAGGGAATCTATTGTTTTGCGAACATACAATAACGTGTTTAATTTTCATGTAAACAATCCATTCATTATTCATTCTTCGAGTGTTTAAAGTAGTATTACGCGGCGCGTAATATTTCATTTAATTATCACACGAACATTTGATCATAAAAATTAAGCATGAGGAACTTCAGATTTTCGTGAGTATATAAATCTCTAGGAGAATGATTTCTGTAATGGAAAATAAAGAAGGCTGTACGAAGTATTGAATATTCAACAAAACTAACATTTCAGGACAGTAATGTCTACGTTTACCTGCATAATATTTCTTCAAAACGACTACTGAACACAGTCTTCTAGAATGTAGTCTAGAATGTAGCTCACTTGCTAAAATATATTTCCTTGAGCTATTACATCAGAACACAAAGAAGCATAGCGTGTCCATACTGACCATACTAATTTAATTCACCGAATGTTCTACTGGACAAATTCTAAAGACTTAGAAAATAAAAAGAAGCTGACTTACTAAAATATATTTCCTTGAGCTATTACATCAGAACACAAAGAATCATAGGGTGTCCATACTCTATCATACTAATTTAATTCACCGAATGTTCTACTGGACAAATTCTAAAGACTTAGAAAATAAAAAGAAATCATGAATCAACGCGATCGACAACGTTAGGTTCCAACGAATCCTTCAACGGAGAAATTTCACGTAGCCGGCCATTGTTACACGACGTAACGCCTAACGTTCTCGAATCGGCGTGAAATCGATTATATTTAATATTGTAATAGACAATATTTCCCGACGCAAGAGCGGATGTGTTTTTGAATACCACGAAGGACTATTATCGGCTACGCGATGAACGTTATTTGGCGAATTAATCGGTTTAATATCGCGGCAAAATGATTTTGAAAACGGTCGAGTGTCTTGCGCGGATATATGAGTGCATTGGCCATTCAGTCAGAAGTGTTAATTAATCGTTTATCGACCACTCCGAAGTGCTCCCAAGTGTTATGAGTATGAACCTATTATGGCGCTACAATCGGTGGTTAATTACCACCACATAATACTGCGCGACTGTGAATGCGTATTGAATATTAATAATTCATTTATGTCCCTTCCGTTCTATCAAAACTCATGAATTCGTTAGGTGCCACAATTATCGGAGTGTCACGTGCACGATAAATGAACCGAACGCCTTGTTTTAATGTATTAATGGATTATCCCTCCACGTGTTCCGCTATTTAGCTAACAATAATACTAATAGTGAATTTAATAGCCCTTTTATCGTACATCAGGGAACAGTACTAATATTTGTAAACATAATTAAAAGACAGAAGGAAGAGAAATAAATATAGTATAAAATAGTATATACGAAACATTACAATCTAACATTAAAATAAAATTGATAAATGAATATTCGAACAAATGTTAACTGGAAAGAAACGATTGAAGATCTCGAATATATCGATTATCGTAACAGGACGTCGGTATCTGTCAATGATAATCATAGCGATAATGTAATTAATAATATCTAATGTAATATACTTATCACTCTATCAGTAATCTAAAAAATCGCAAAAAGAAATAAAGTATAACGTAGAATTACATTAAGTATAGCATAATACGTATAATATTAAAATTACCTATAACGTTGCAAGAATACAACAATGACGATATACACACGAATAACAACCAATGGCTAAAGTGAAACAGAGGTTTAAATGAAAGGGGTTAGAGGGGAACAATGTAGAATAAAAAGTGTGCCAGGGTGAGGATTTATCGGGGCGTAAACGCTATTATTTAACCTAACCTGATTATGATCTGAAAGCGGCGCTTTCCGTTCCGCCGTCATTTTTAATTTGCGCCGAACGTTTCCCGCCGAAAATGAAACACGGGGGCATTGATAACAACCGTCGCGTTTGCTTTTCAGTTTTGGTCCGCCTACGTTCCATGCGGCGCAGCTCAGTTGAATGCAGTTCAACTTTCCTTGGAACAAATCGACGTGATCCGCCGACTGGCCGAGATGAATGCTCAACATTTAACTTTGGTTACCTCCGTCAAAGGTGAGCACACCGTTTATCTTTAATAAAACCTATCTTCCGCCGGTGAAATCCGATCGCGGTGCCACTGTTTCCCGTAAACGGCAGCGTTTCATAGGAGACTCTTTCGGTATTGCATTTTCTAAATTACTTTCGTGTGTCCCATACATTCGCGATAGTTTGAGATAGTTCTGTTATCGGTGGGGTATTATTGTTAATAACAGTATTAGATATTAACCTCTTAATCTATAATGTCGTGTCACTGTCGCGATAAAGATTTTAAACTGAATTTGGGAGATCTGAGTGCTATTTATTTGTTTTAAATATAAATTTCATATTAATTTTCTATTATCAATCGTTAACCTTTGAAGTAAACGTGAACATAGAATAAGCATTGAAATTTTTTCATTTTCTAATAAGTTATTAATGATAAAGTAGTTGTATCAGTCATAGTTAAGAAATAAATCATAGGGCGTGGAATTAATAATAATAATTAACAATAGCATAAGATATTAATAATAATTATTAATAATGGTATAAGATATTAATAATAAGAAGACTTTATAGTCTTATTACAGCTTATTATAATCTCACAGTAACTGTAATTGTCTTATTATCACTGTCATACGTTTGCATAAATTAACAGCGTTGTAAAAAATTCCAAAAATTAAAATTACAAATTTAACATTAAAACAATATTTTTTAAAATGATGTTTCACTTGCAATAATGTTACCATGCTACAGTAAACTTTATTTGTAAGTAAATTTAATTGCTGTTACATCTATTGCAATTTACAAACATTACAGTGTCTGGTTTATAAATACAAACTGTATGAAACTGTTCGCATAAAAAATATACTTTGCCCTGAAACTTCGATTTCCCCGAGCAAAGTTTCAAGGGACGATTTGTTTCGCTCGCCTCACGCTTGAATTAATCCCGCCTGAGACAAAGTAATAACGGAATGAGAAAAATACGGTTCATTTTCCATTTCTCAAGTAACCGGCAAGTAAACGTCACGGAGAGCACACTTTAGTCGGATTTGAATTGTGTAAACTGTCGTGTGGATATGTAAACCGCGGCCGGAGCTTCGGTGAGAGCAAGTAAAACAGAAAGGAAGAAAGAATCGGGAAGGAGATTGCAACATAAAGGATCAAGTTGGACGTAATGGTTCGGGCAAAATTTATCAGACACGATTCCCCTGGATTGCTGTAAAAATAAAAAATGTAATCTCATAGCGCCGAGAAACAGAAAAAGGACAAAGATTTACGTTCTCGGGGGGCACGATGCATTATCGCGGATTTCGAAATGGTACGGCCCGCGATTCATTCTCGTCGACGCTACGCGGGAACAAAAATTGCGTTATGAAATGGAACGTTGACGATATTTTTTGTTTCGTTAATTCTCAGTTATTCAGCGGACACGTAATCTGTCCACAAAAATCTGTTCATTGGTTATGTACTCGGTTTTATTTGATTTACAATTTTTCTCACTTCTGTCGCATCCGTCGACTAATTTAAATCTTTTTACTTTGACTGCTACGTCACCCGTATTTGTGACATTTTTTTACTTAAACATTACCCTTTGCCTAATGGCGACGCATCAGACTCGTGCTGAAGATTTTAAAGAGAATTTAACAAGCACAAGTATTAACGTTTTCTAAATCAAATTAAACGTTACACTTCTGATACCAATAATTACACTTTTCTCTTTTTTCAATAAATTATTAATGGTAAAGTGGTTGTATCGTTCATAGTTGAGAAGTAAATCATGTGTATTACAATACAACGTTTGATATTGAATGAAAATATTTAATACTGTAAGTGACTAGATAATAGTGTGTATAATGTATGTGTTAATAATTAATTCTAACGCTATTTGTCTTTAATATGAAAGAATAAGCAATATTATGTGGAACGTTCAAAATTCACGTGGCGCACAACGTGTTAGACATTGATTTTCTCGGTGACATATCGAACGATACCAAATTTTGTTGAATGTAGGAGATACAAGAAAGATAATAGAGCAATCGTTACGAATGATCTTGACTTTTTAGTTTCTACTTTATCATGAAAACTGTTTCGACTGCATAGGAGTTTCGATGAACGTTTACTTATCAGTAAAAATGTGTAAAATACTTTTAAATATTTTAATATCGAAGGAGGAATATTTAAAAACAAAGTACAATGACTAGTAGCATAATCAATTATTGACAAACGTAAAGTCAACGGGCGAACGAAAAATCGTAACAAGTTCCGTATTGTACGGAGCACAATCGGCTCGTTTATATTTTGACAAGAGTTTTAATAACGGTCGGCAGACAGTGGTAAATCAGATTTTCGAGTTTTAAATGTTGGTACTTGTTCAAGTGGTAATTAGATTGCTAGGAACGCGTACCAACTGCGAGTAACAATGGATACAGTAGAAACAGCAGAACCTGACAGGAAGTTTGCTCTCGAGGAAACTCGAGAGGACAAAGGAGACTAGTATTAATTGCTCGATTTCTCTGAAGCAGTATCGTTCAAGAGGAAAGTAATTATTGGTTTCAACTTGATAAAACCAATTCATATTGTTGAAGCCCTACAGGCTACTGAAAAATGTTTACCTTATCCGTATGATGTTAATCGATCACACTGGCATAAGTCGCCCTACCCTATTTAATTATTTAATTACTGTTTAATCAGTCGAGAACCTCTGAAGAACTTCGATAGTCCGTGGTACATTTAAATGAACTATTTCGTCGTGACTGATTCTATGTAAAAATGCAATCAATATTCTCAGCTCAAATATTACGAGAGCTTCTCTCACAATATTAATTTTAAAAGAAGGTAATCAGTGTTTACTGTTAGATGTTGCCATTTTCAAGAAATTAATTCCATTCCTTGCTCCTCAACCAATACAGTTTAACTGATTCTGTACTAATTGTCTTCTTATTGCGTGTATATTATTACTAATTCTACCGAGCAGATCATAATCATTTCTTTAATAACTATACAATATACTAAATCCTTCGAAGCACCCTTCGCATTTAATAAAATTCATGTTTCGTTGCCACTCATTATCTTCACCTATAGTACACACGCGGAATTTAATCTTGAAACATATGCAGTGTTTATGGAGCTTCCTTTTGACATTTTAAGTGCCATCTAAATACCACCTTGGTTACCTGTACTTGTTAATGTAAATAGGGTTCAACTGCCTGCCTCCTTGCCAGTATTTTGTTTTGTGTCTATATTTATTTGCAACGAAATAATAATAAAAAATTATAAATAACAGTAGGACACTAAAATTTGTAAAATAGTATCGTTTAATCGTTAACCATTGTAATATCTGAATTGTATACGGCTGAACTTTTTTCATAAATTTTCGACAAGAGTTATTTAGTAAGAGACATATTATTCTATTATTGTTACTTAAATGTCTCGTCATTTCATTCGAATTTGTTAACAAAAACGAGGTGTCAGAGTTCTTGATTATAAAAAACTTCTCGATTTTACGGAGTTCGCTTTTTCTTGATTTTAATCAGGAATGGCGAACATTTACGAGGGAGTTTTCGTTTGCACCTGAAAACTACTCTCGCAACATAGAAATTTTTATCGAACTTTTTCGTTCGCAAATTTTCCGTGACGCTGACAATTTTAAAATTCTGAAAAAAGGGAACAACTTCCAGAAGAACATTGCTTTCGAATTTCAAATTTAAAAACATGGTTTCTGTTATAATGAACGTTATACGTAATGAGTTTTTAATGTCCCTGTGTGGTCTGCCATAAATAACCAAATCGTGGAATATGCTTAATAATAATCTACGTTACATTCTGTTTCATAAATTTCACATTATAATACAGTGTTTCGTGCTTGCAATATTTCCATGTAACTAAATTGTTCCTTATAAAATACATTCGTCAAGGAATTAAGACAAGATCAAGAGATCAAAGAACCAAAGATATTTGAAGAATTTAATTAAAATGTCATTTTCTGATTATAATTAATTACACGTTAGTAATAATGAAACCCAATTCGAAATCAATTCCAGTAAATGAATATTTTACTCGTTTAAAGAACATTCTAAATATTCAAATATACGTTAGAAGCCAATTTCGCTGTCTTAAATAGAATGCATGTTCAGAAAATTGTCGCAATACCGTAATTTTCTTTGCATTACCTTTGATTGTTAAATCAAGGGATGGAAAGTTTACATAGTTGCAAAAGCAGAAAATTATTCCATGTTAAAGGGGCAAGGCATTTCTACTGGCAAAGAGTGAGAGGGGGAGGGGACGTGTAAGAGTCTGTAACCTGCGTGAAAACTTGTAAAAGTTTCGACGACAAGTAACCTACGTTGGAAGCCATTTTCATAAGCTCAAGAAACTCCGCCAACTAGGAAACCGAATCGGGGTCGCGAAAAGAATACTGTAGAAAGTTAGGAAAAGGACATTTCACTTGTCTCTCGAGAGATAGTGTGCGTTTTGTCAAATCTTGTACGAGCTGATGGTTGGTTCATGCCTTGCAACACAGACACTGCTACCCGTGAAACCTGAAACCATCGATAAACATTGTTACCGTAAAAAGTTATGGACAATTCACGGTGTGCTTCAATTCGTAGAAATAAACAGAGAAATTACATGTACTGCAGCGTTAACCCTTTGCACACGTATGCCATGCTGCAAAATGACAACAGTTTGTTACACTTTATTCGTGATACTTTAAAAAGTACAATTTAAAAGATTATAAAAATTAAATCTTATAATAATAGTAAATAATATAAATACAAAACGTTGAATTCCACTGCTGTAAGGCTAAATTTGATGATAATCTTTAACGATTTATACGCATTGTGTATCATTAAACCCAAGGATAAAATAAAGGACTAGTGACAGTACGATGACAGATTATTATAAAGAAAAAAAGGTACATATTCGCTGAATACAAGGAAAAGATTAAATATTTAATAACCGTTTCTCAGAATATAATGATTATACGTACTAGAGAAATTATTGAAGGGTGATATTTGTTCTTTGGTCTGCACAGGTCTTATCGAGGCGCATCGAGAAGGCAAAATCGCAAGTCTTATCGGAGTAGAAGGTGGTCACTCCCTTGGGAATTCGCTGGGCGTTCTCAGGACATTTTACGGCCTGGGTGCGAGATACCTTACCTTGACGCATACCTGCGATACTTCCTGGTGAGTGGAGAAAAATCAATATGTACGACCCGCGAAAAATAAAATTATTCAGAGCAGTATATCTGCTATTTCAGCAGAACTTGTTTCTTTCTTATTGAAAACATTTCTAATGACAATACATGTTGCTTCCGTCGCCGTACTTTACATGCGAAGAAACGAGTTGCACCAATTATGCTTGTTATGCAAGTGACCCTTTCGCGAATCACTTGTAAATAAGCGTACAAATATAATGGACATAATAGTTAATCATATTAGTGACAGGCAAATATAACTGAAGTATTACATCACGTATAAAAAAACAGGTTTGTGTAGAACATAATAAAATCCTATTTTATTTTAAAATCACATAGCTTTTCTAAATAATAAATATAATGGCTAAATATAAAGTTAAATATAAAGTTCATACACTCGTCGATAATAATGCAAAAATTTGAATGGTTTCAAACCACAGTAATATAAATAAAGTCAAAAACTGCTATCTGAAAAAACAGCTCCTAATATGGAACATCCAGGTAAATTCTAAACAAAATTCATTTTTATTATTATTTAACGTGTCCCGGCCTTTTTCTCTATCATAAAAACTAAGTGTTCCTCGACTATAGAAATGCAGACGGGACGGTGAGGGTTATTGCTTAATTGTATATATTCTTAACAATTAGCTTCGACGAGGAGAGAAAATTTCAGTGGCTCTCTCAATTCCGAATATCATACGGCAGGATTTCGCGTTTACTCGATTCGCCTGTATAAAACATTCGGCGGGGAGCGCTTTTCCATTTCAATTAATCGCCGAAAGGAAACTTACTTCTCCGCTCTCCGGTCTTTCAAGCAAGGCCAGTACTATTTACCGAATCGTTCGTCCCGCTTTGTGCCGCGATCCATCGCCGAAGGAAAAACCTATCCCGCGAGCCGATCAACCTGAAAGAGCTCGAAGCAATCTAAAACCTTGGCGCGCAGAAATTTCTTCCATCTCGACGATTTCAGTGCCCTGCCAAAACCTACACTTACGTTCCGCGCGATGGACGGGGGCGAAGCCCAAAAGAACTTTGTTTCGATAGGAACGGAAAGTACTTTTCTTTTGGCCAACAACCAGACTCTCGATATCCGCCGAGCAAATTTTTTCTCCGTTTCGTTCGTCGAGGGGCAATCAGATTTTTCGAATTTCGCCAATGAGATTCCGACCTATGCCTTCTTCTCGCTGTCGGTTCTTCGTCCCCTTTTTTTATAGGAACATTGAATCGCGTCCAAACGAATTAGCTCCTTGCGGTTCGAAGTGTTTGTTCTCGGTTTCTCCCTTTGGAACTCGCATTACTTAACCCCTGGTCTTGTAATAACGCGTCGGACTCGCGGTGGAGATTTTTAATGGAATTTCGCTCCTTACTTAACGGTGGCGTCGCTTTGAAACCGCATATTTCAATATTAGTAAAATGTGAACTGGTGGACTAGCCACCAGTATAAAATCGATGTATCGTCACCTATCTTTTGATAGTTGGAGTAACATTTTTTATCAAAATATTTATTTTCGTTAAAAATGACAAGTTAGTCAACGTATATTGTGAAAATAACTATATTTTCCTTGAAGATTTTATTCGCGAGCTGAAAGATCAAGAAGCATAAATATTATTCAATTCTTTTGAATTGAAATTAAATATTATCCTTCTGTTATCAATTATTATATTGTAGTTTCCTCTATTTCCCATATTTCATGGACATATAGTATACTTAGAATCTTTTTCTTTTTCTAAAGGATTTCGAAATAATATACATAAAACTCAACGTATTAGAAGAATTAACATCGCAGTGTATCAACAAAATCTGCAAACTCTTCAGAACCAGAAAAGTTCCATTTCCACGTGATCTCATTACGATTCTCGAACAAATAAATCAAAAATCGGTAGAAATTAGTAGAATCCGTAGTTATCGGAATAAAATTGAATTTCGAGTGTCTCGATACAGGAACGAAAGGGGTTGAAATCCATGAAAAATATTTCCTGAATGCGGTGAATCGTGATCAAGAGATGAACGAGCGGGAGAGCAGCGCGCGAAAGGACCAATGGATTCCAACGATGTCCGATAAACCGATCATTTCTATAAGAAATCGATCTTCGGTCAGAATTTCGTTCCGCCCGCATGGAAAAAGTTTCAGCGGTTCCCTCTTCGGTCCCCGTGTATTCCGACGAATTTCCCGGGGCTTTAAGTCCCGCGATTCAATCCCACCGGAGACGCGATCCACTGTTCAACGTTTACAACTTGCAAAGTTTCTTATTGTTTCCTCCGTTCATGGGGAAAGCCTGAAATCAACGTGCCCGGATTCACGAGAAACATGGGGCTGTCCGTGGCGTAATGTCGAAACGCGGTAGAAATATGAGTTCCTTGAGGACATCAATCCTCCGGGCAAGTTTTATGTGTCCCACGGTGCCACGTGTACCGTGTTGTTGTAAATAGAGCTTTATTTTATGCATCCCTTCAATTCTATTCTACCGTCGTCGGGTTTACTTAGGAGGAATATTCGGAGCGTTTCAAATCTTTGTTTCTCTGGGTAATCGTTTTATTTAAATCATATAATAAATGTGACCTCAATTTTGAAAATGGTCTATGATCGTTTAGCATCAACAATCATGCTTATAAGTTACAGTATTGCACAGTCGTAATAAATTCTGTTTCGAGACTAAATATTTAAAATATTTCGTTATATAAAAATATTTTTTAAATATTTTATTCCCTTCATCTTATGGGTGGACAATTTATTTAATAAAATGCAGCGATAGAAATGTGCAGTCGAAAAATGTGCAAGCCAAGCAACACGCGATATCTCTTTAATGTTACATCCGCGTGAACTTTCCAAGGCGTTATTGCACGGTTAGTATTGACCGTTATACCTCGCTATTGATAACTGATGTTTACAAATATTTTCTCCTGGCTCCGATATCGTACTCGAGGAGTACTGACATATTAACGCTGTTGTGGCAACTTAACAAACATGGAACATTTACGGAGAAATCGTGTAACATTCAATGTGCATAAGGTCACTTTTCTCTGAAACATATTTATCAGCTATTTGCATCGTACTATTAAATAAACAAAAATGATTTTCCATTCAATAGATTGAATTACACTCAATTATTTGATATGCAATAAAAACTTCGAATTAATATGTAAAAAATATATAGTGACATATAAAATATTTCTCTTGCAATTCTCTTAAATATTATACCATTAATAAACTATAGAAATTTCAACAAATTCAATTCAACAGAAACAAATTCATGTTTTCACAAAGTAATTTGTAGAAGTTTTTTAGATAGATAGAAATTCTACTTTCTTGGTGAATGGTATCGGTAAATTACAAATACTAATGCTCGAGTGTTAAGTGTTATTAAGTTTTCTATTTTACGAATTTTTAAAAATTGTTTATGAACTACAATAGATAAAATTTCGTAATCTGATCGTCTTACTAAAGGTTTCGGAGATTACGTCATTTATGAGAGAAGTATGTTCAGTTAACGAATATAATTGGGGCTGTCGCGTTACACAGCTCACCCCGTATACCCTGAAGAGTTTTGCGGGATGACACCATAATGCTCGAGTGTTAAGTGTTAAGCTTTCTATTTTACGAATTTTTAAAAATTGTTTATGAACTACGATAGATAAAATTTCGTAATCTGGTCGTCTTACTAAAGGTTTCGGAGATTACGTCATTTATGAGAGAGAAGTATGTTCAGTTAACGAATATAATTGGGGCTGTCGCGTTACACAGCTCACCCCGTATACCCTGAAGAGTTTTACGGGATGACACCGGTATCTTCCGCATGTAAAGTACGACACGGTTACTGATATCGTCGGCTATAACTATATAACAGTTCAAGTCCAAAGTATTGCACAATGGCCGACGACCCGATTCGACCTGGTTTTCAATCCCTGCCTACGTTATGTGCCCCTCGACACTATACCTCGTGAAGCTGTAAATAAGAACCCGACTCGCCTTGTTCCAGAACAAATCTTCCTTTCGATGCTATATTTTTCCCTTTCAACAAATAACCCGACGCTCGCTACTTTCCTATAACGTGTTGCGAATAAAACAAGGCAAATAGTTATCGACAGGAATATCGAAAAACGAATCCATTTGTAATTGGACTTCTCTTGTGGAAGATACTAATGTCCCTTTTCGTAATTATACAAGTAATTGTATCTTCGTAATTTTTATACTGATTCTTTCTAAAGTTAGATTTAATACCGAAATAACTATTGGCTGATGGTAAAGTACAAGAAATCTATTAATATTACGATTCTTCATTGATTAATTTGGTAATATTTTATATGCCGAGTTACTTTCGTGCAATGCACTTCTGATTTAATGTTAAATGTTAATGTTTATAATATATCAGATGCTAAATGAAATAATTCAGGTCAAATTCTAAAATCGCCTCTGGCTGCATCCTGACTTTATGGAATTTCTAGTTTATGTACGCCGTGTTCTCTTAAATATATATATATTTATGAGCATAATGAAAATGGTATGATAATAATGAAGTTAATTGAGTTAAGGCTGAAACTTGAAAACTTTCTGTTTATTTGACTAGACACTCAGACTGTTAATTAGCGAAATAAAACTTTGTTTAGTGCCTTCTGCACAGCAATGTAAATTTCATATTACATGTTACTATATCTATTTCCCTTTATTTCTTTTATTAAACCTTAAAAGCTGCCCTGAAAGAAAAACATAAAGCAAATCGGTCTATTTTATAACATTATTATTACTAGCATCAAATGATCACCTAAATAACTTCCAAAGTTACCAGACTCGTAATGATTTCAAATAGAATTTAACAAAAAAATATTATTCAATTTATTTGAACGCAAATTACATATTACTACCCTATCAATGCTTATATCTTACAGCACACACTAACAGAACAAGTCTCGAATTTTCCCTTATTCTCAATAAATTATTAATAACAAAATAGTCGGATGGATCATAGTTCAGAAGGAAATCGTAGGGCAAGAGGTGAAGCACGCTCCTATCAAGCGTTTACTCGGTCCGAATAAAATATCGATTTAGAAAAGGTGTTTCCCCGTAGGCCTAGGCGTCAATCTCTAACCTCGTTCCCCGTCCTTTCGCCTTTTCTCTTACGGCTCTTTGTCTTTTCGCGCACCCCCCTCCCCGCCAGCCCCGCCGTGGGAAAGAGGGAATTGTCGGGACGATTGCGTTTCCCGCAATTCTAGATGACGACGAGCTGTCGACCTTTCTTTCATGGCGCTCCTCTGAAGCATTTCCGCGGCGGACCCGCCGAGAGGGGCGGGGGGAGGGAGGCGAAAATCGAGCGGAGAAGAAAGATTACCGGCCTTCGTCGGGGCGGATTAAATTTTCTATGGCTTCGCGGAGTCGCCGACGATCTTTCGGCGTTCCGGGCCGTGACCACCTCCGACGTTATACGCCCGTTTCCCGAACCAAGGAATTGCTTTTCCCGGTGACAAATTATTTCTCGATTTTAAAGCGGCCGGGAGATTGCGCGGCCGAACGTTTGTCCCTCCCTCCCCTACCCTGCCCTGCCCCCCTCGCGACGAACGAATTAAATTTCAGCCGGCAAACAAAAAACTGGTCATTACCGTGCAAATTGATTTTTAATACCGGCCGATTGCTCAACGATAAACGGTTATTAATTTCTTCTTGTTTTCGCGGGTTCTCTATTTTCTCGCGTCCCTCCGTGGAACCGGGAAATTGAATTCCGTTCGGTCGTGACTTGTTCCCCGTCGTTATTGAATTGCAAGGTAAAACAGATGTTCGACGGATGGAATGAAACGGACGTGGCCGGCTGTACGGAAGGAATAGCTCCGCGAGTTCGTAATTTTTCAGTTTATTCTGACAATATAATTAAAACGCCTGCACACTTTCGTGGAAACGTTTAGTTAAAAATGGTTTCATTATATCTCATAAATGATCTCTTTTAAAGGAATATTTTGGACCGAATAAAAGGTCGTATTTACAATTGAAATATAATACTGAACATTTTTCGAAGCATTTATATTAAAAAGGTCTAGATATTCAAAACTCGTTAAACGTTTCACAGTATTAAATCACTTTTCGTAAATATATAAGCTGACTTCGATTCTGAAAATTGTCATGAATTCATGACGTCATCATTAAAGAACATGTAGGGTAATTATAGCTTATGGTCACAGTTTGCTTAGTACAGCACTTAAAAATTATAGTTGCATTGTGATTATGTATGAACCAGAAAATTATGATAAGCAATCAGTTTTCTAATTGTGTTATGCTCGGAAAGAAGGAAATTCTAACAGACATTTTCTTGGCAGGGCAGTCTGTTCAGTTCGCGAGACGAACAGTTCGCAGGACTCAACGCCAGGCCTCAGTGAGTTTGGAAAGGTAAGTCATCAAATGTGATCATCATTTTTTCCATACTTTGAGATCGTTATTGTACTTTCACTTTAAGTATTCATTATGCGCCATTATGCGCCGTAAGTTACCATTTTCTACAGTAATTTTACTGCTTATATAGAACACAATCAAATCAGTTTTTATACTTTTTCTTTTCCTGCTAATGTCTTCGAGTCTATTTTCACCTTTTCATCTCCAAGAATGTATATATAATTTAATAAAATCATTAATACACTAGATTAGATTAGATTAGATACTAGAAATTAGTATCTAAAATTATAAATCTACATATCAGCAATTTAAATCTAATTTTTATTATATCGTTACACTCGTGATTTAAGAATCTTGATTATTACTGTCAGTATTAAAAGTTAAACGCGTTATAATTAGTTCGCGAAATCAATCCAACTTCGTTAACCGCGTTTCATTTGAAAAACTTTCGAATAATATTTTCAATAATATTAAAGCATCGTACTTTCGCTTACAATGTAATTGTAAAACTTCGGCCAAGGGGTAACGTAAAAATAATACGTAGCGGTTCGCCATTTCGCTCCAATAACAAACGATTTTGCAACAATCGATTCCCCCTTACGCGAAAACTGCAATCACTCGATTATCCGTACACCATATTCCCCGACGAGCCTTAACGAGTATCCCAGTATTTACAAACCAGCCCTCATATTCCCGGCGAAAGAAGAGAATAATAATCAACGAATTGCAATCAATGATGCTTCACGCCCCATTTAAACCGCGCATCTTCGCTCTTCGGAAAGTTACGAGCGTGACCCGGTTTTAATCGAATCTCGCGAAAAACATCCCACCGTTAAAATGAAATCGGCAAAATTCCCTGAAAATTCGTTCCGCGCAGCTTTCTATATATATCTCCAACAAAATAAAACAAATCCGAAAAAACAACAAAAGAAAAAAAGGATACGATCGAATCATATCGTGAATAGAAAACGCGAAGGGGATGGAATTTTGTTTCCTATCGATCCTGAAAAATGACAATGATTGAAAACATGATTAAATAATACGTTTCGATATAGATTTACCAAATAGGAAAATAATTGTCATCAAATCAAATCAAAAAGTAACAAACATAATTTGCGATGTAATAAACGTGACTCTAATTCCGATCCAATTCACTCTTCAATTAACCGTTTGACTTCTACCGGTTTTTGCAAAAACCCGATCGAAGCAGCGCGATCGCGCTTCGTTCAATTCAATTTAGAAAATGAATTACGCTTCTCTATTTTTACAAAAATAAATTTCAAATGCTATCGATCGTTACATTTCCCAGTTCTAAGCGGGTAATAACAAAAACAAAAATGAATAATTAGAAGGAAAAGAGGTAAATAAGCTCCATCCGATTCCACGAGCCGATAGACCGGCACTTTTAGGCAGTGCGAGGGAGAAGCGCGATCGGGTCGCTTGGGACTCATTAAAATTTTCCTTAACCTGTTACCCGTGGAACTCAGTTTCAAAAATCTCTCGTTCTACGTGCAACAAAATGAAAAAATCAAGCGTGCACTCGTTGCAGGACGAATGCGCCTAGAATATATCTCAATGAAAAACCAAAGTGAAACAAAAAATAACGTTTATCTGAAAAAACCAAGAATTCGTCACTGAAAGACGTATCGTTTCAACCTTTAAAATTCCGCGTACACTTGTGAAACACAGTTAAGGATAGGAAAACCCGAAAAGAAACTTGGAAAACAAAGAAAAAGAAAGGAATATCGAATCTTCTCGCGAACAGAAGACGTAGAGGGGATGAAATCCTTCCCCATCGATCCTGCGAAATTTGCAGTCTCTTGGTGGTAGTTTCCGT